GCATTCGACCACTTCACAAAGAGAAATATTTATACAGTTGCAGACCAACATTCATGATTCATCAGTGTATCAGACCAGGAAAGACTGGTTAATTCCATTGATCATTTAGTAGATATCTAATTGTGCAAAAGTGAAACTAGACTGAAATATGTGAAACAATTTTGGGGTTATGCAGATTCATTGGAAAAGTGCAGTAAAATATTCCAGAAAGAACATTACGGCTTTACGGTATATTCAAAGGCGATAGCCTCCATTCAATAGCTACGTGTTATACAATCTAATTAGTTTCTGGAACAAAGCACTACCATAAAGTACATATGTACATATGAATATGTGTAGATATGTATGACGGTTTTAGGTTGCTAGCCAATTAAATTTTCCACCAGGACTACATACATTCACAGGTTTTCTAATTTGTGGGTTTTTGCGGAGTACCACAAGCAAACCATGCAACAAATTGCTTTACTTATATTAATTAGTGGTGGTTTCGAAAGGAGATGGTTATATGTATTAGCGTGCAATCCTGCGGCTGCAGGATGATGGAAAATAATTTTCAGGGTTACGTACAATATACTCTGGTAGATAATTTTCACTCTGCAGTATTTGATGAATATTCCCACCAAGTTGATAGAGGTTACTTTAGCAAAATGTATGCAGCATCGCCACTGGTGCACTTCATGTAATTGAAGCGTTGCCATTCTTGGAGTCATCTTTGTCAATGCCAAAAACTAGGACGCAGGAATCGTGTGGTAAACTCTAAACCAAGGAAGCAAAACGGGTTTGGTGAAACTGGTGAAAGTACCAGAAAAAATGTTTTTGGGTGATGGAAATACCGTACCAACTGGTGTCGCGTACATATGTTTGAAATGCCAGAGCGCCCAGCGTATATTAATGTATGTAGATTAAACCAAAGGAACCACAAGGAAGCGAAATTCTTGTCTTCATAATTTAAGCGAACAGTGATATTTGCGTTGGAAGTCTTATGTAAGTCGGTATATCATGACTTTCCACTTCTAAAGGACCACACTAATTAAATATATATGTTGGACAATATTGTCACTAAAAGTTTGTTCGTCATAGAACTGGGTGCGATATGCGCCTGCAGGTACCTATTCACACGTATTTATTCATGGGTACCAATAGTGTTACGAAATTTTGCCCCCATTGCGACAGTTGTTCGTAACCAATACTGAAGATGATTACAGTCGAATCGATGCCAAACGCTGTTACGAAACGATGTAGATGTATTTAAATATCGTCCAGGTACCAATCGCCTGCATCATCTCAATTCAGATCTAGATGCACATTGTGGGTCGTGCTTATAATGAAGAAATGAAGTATAACCAAGTATGGTACACATTATAAGTAGGGTATCGATAAGTGGGTCATACCCAGATGCCTCTCTGGAGGCTGTGTCTAGCTATATTTCCAGCAACTTTCTTCTGAATGAGCCCCCAGTGAATTTTTCTTGTACGTAAGTTAAGCAGACATAGATATAAAGAAATTCCGGATGCGGTGTCACCCAAGAAGAAAAGAAGAGTGATCTGAGAAAGGTACCAGGTTTCAAGTTGCTAAATCTACGATAACGCGATTGGATGGAGAGCAAGTCCATACGCGTCATCTGATCTACTCGATCATAGCTGTGCAGTTCTTTCATGACTGAGAAACTAGTTCCATTATATTTTATCAGCGGCCATAATACATATTAAGCTCAAAGTATAGAAGATTTACTCGACGTAGTTGTTTATACTGAGCGCACTCACGATAACATCTTATTTCGCATCGAAACTCATTTGTCAACTTGTAAAGCTAAACAAAATTGTTTCGTGAGAGGATTCGCAAAATATTATTTCGCAAATTTCGCAAATGTATACAAACTATCCTATTTTAATTTAATACCCTCGCGAAGTGAACAAATGTGCTATTGCTGGGTAAATTCCGGAAAAAAATCCTGTGATTTTCTTTTGAAAATTTTGCGGAATCTCCTAAATCTCGCAAATTTAACAAAATTTCGCAATTTATATTGCTATGCTCAATGACATATGCGAGATATGCGAAAGGTTGACGTGATTACGCTCAACATTCGCAAAGCATTTACGTAATATCAATATAATATTTAATCCACCCAATCTGACTTCGTTACATCTGAGAAAAACTTAAAACACTCCTGACGAAGAGAATAACGATCGGTTCTTCTTTCTTGTACAGAAGAGCACATTCGCAGAAAAACAGTAGTGGCCATATGAGAATGTAGGGAAAGCAATAAAAGGCAGATAAAGTAGACAGGAGACATTATTGGCCATAAAGAGGAGACATTTGGCAATTCATGCCTCAGTCGAATTTATAATAAGCGGACATTCGGATGGAAAGCAGACTTCAACTGCCAAAGCTACACTACGACTTATGTATGCGCACTTGAACTCTACTGATCGCCAACGTAACGTAACTAAGCAAACGCGTGGAGTACGAAGTATAATGCAAATTTGTGTAATCATTTTTGTTGATTATATATAGATATTTGATCATTATTAGCCAATTTCAAGACGATATGCAAGGCGACTTACACAATTTTTCCGATAAAGACGATAAAAATAAGAAAGTCTAAATATAATGTATTTGAATAAAATATCAAGTCGTCCATACATAATGCAGTCTATGCACTGAATATATTTCCAATTTGAATATCTCTGCTATTGAAAAAATTCTGAAAGCCTGATTCGTATCATGGCTAAAACTTTCAATCGGACCATTCCAATAATTTATACGGACTATGCGTCAAGCAAGTCTCGACTTGAATATATTAGGCCTAAATATCACACGACATCGTCACTCCGCAGCAACGTCATGTGATTGTTAACCAAAAATTGAACATGCAAATATTTCAGATCTAGCGAAAAATCAGCATCCCTTGTGTGAAAAAGGTCAGTTGCAGTCGTACTTATGTACATTGTGACACCAAACTTTTCTCGTCGAAATGGAGAAATCTATTTATCCAAACGTCTCGAAAACCCATATGTATGGAAAACTGTGCCAGCAGCAGCACCTCCTTTCAAACCAAACCAAATCAATGCTTTCCCCGTATAATAACAGAGTGAGAATGATGTCGTAAAATGTGATGGGAAGTGAAAAGTCGCGGTTTGCAATCACACGCGAGAATCATAAGTAAAGATTTGCCAAGAAATGCTGACTTGGTTCGTTCCAGGGGAATTGATAGTGTGATGGAGGTTATCGAATTCAGAGTTATGGGGATTCGGAGCTGTGTAAACGAAACCGTAGATTTCAAGTCAGAGCGAGATTGGTGAAAGTCAGACGATTTTAAAGAGAATTTGGAAATATAGAGGTAAACCGCCCATTCCATCAAATTGAGGAGTTTTTATGGATTGTAACGGGAGGTTTTGGTGGCATTGGACTCTTTCACCGCGAGCTGGTGGAAATACATCAGCTCGGTTGATAAGTATTTAGTAAATAACAGATAAACTAAATCCAATTAGTCATTGACCAATCCCATTTGAAATTTTGAAATAATATTATAATTTCAATTCAAAGACCCTCACTTTCACAATTGTAATACAATTGTCATGGCACACAAATTCAGTTTTTTTTTGTAAAAAAAACTACGCAGAATGAAATACGCACACATCGACGGTGGCTGAAGGAGGATTTATCTCCCTTTTTTGGCATTATCTTTTCACTGATGCTGTTTCTTGGCATGATTTATTTCTGACTTAAATCTCCCGTTATTGTGGTATTGTCCTCTTTGACAAAAAACTCGAGTTCTTTTCTGATTCCTGATTTCTGCTCTTGCTGACCAAAAACTGTACATTGTATTGTTAAAGGAACGACTATTTTATTATTATTACAAATTCCTTTCATTTTTCGAATCAAGAATCAAAAACACATTACAAAACCTTGACAAGATTTTCGGTCTTATTGAGGCACATTTGTTTAGAAACCAGCTGCCAAATCGGTTTCATAAATATTAATATTTGACGGAAAAGATGAATCAGCATACTAATCTCGAGGGAGAATCGATTATCGGAATAACCAAACTTTTTGTTATGAAACGGGGTTTCCTTTACGTGAAGAGATTTCACTCTGTGTAGTCTTACGTCGAGAAACTAGTTAAGCTGGCTGTAACTTTATTGGCTGTCTCATTAGTTTGGATGGGGTTATAGGATCACCTTACGTAATATTGTATGTGGTGGAATAAGATATCAGCGGTGATTGATGACCAGCGATGACGGGTTTGAATCAACGGCTTTAATTATTTTTGTAGGACGTACGCAAGTTGAGGGTATGATTCGCAAGGTAGGAAAATATGGCATGATAATTTGGATGGACAAACAAACGGTTTATGTAAGGGTTGCATAAGGTAATAATCACTTGATACCAGTGCTCGATGCTAATACCAGTTTTCATGTAAATATTAAATTTAATTCCAGAAAGATAAAATTAATGTATATTTTGCATTGCACATATTTTTGTCTTCCGTCAAGGCAACGTATCGTGATATTGTCGTGGTCTTTCCTCTGCAAAGGTCATCCATATGTCTGTGGACCACAAAACTAATGCATATGTGAATTTATGAAAGTGATTTACATATGTCGTATTTTCATAAAAACGGAAAACAATGAGAAGCACATAAAAATATATATGTTCGCAAAAATTTTATAGTATTGTGCACAACCAAGAATTTGAATTACAACGATCTGCTGTACTCAAATTCTATAAAAAGAATGTTTTTATTTATCAATTATAACGGGACAAGATTTGCACAACTTATGAATGGATGGACAAAGAAAGCAAGTGGAACGTGATGCTCAAACCGTGATAAGTACTTGAAACTGGATGCCTTTTGCAGAACGAGATCTCCAACTGAACCCAATTTTATTTCCTACTTGACTGTCAGAGTTTCTGAGCTTTCTCTCAGCCCCTGAACCGGCTCAAGTAAAATTCGCCCGAACTTTCTCTACTAGTTCAGTTAGTGAAAGTCGGTGGACTGAAACACTACATTGCTCGAGTCTAGCATGAGCATAAGCTGTACGTTCTTTCTGCCTCAGCGTGGGAGTAAATTTCTTCTGATGTCAAACTAAACATTAAGTGGACAAGTGCTGTAAAGAGTTTGGACGTGTTTATTTACCTTGTATTGAAGAAAGTGTGTGTGGTACACAGATATTGAGAAATATTAGTTTAGGGAATATAGATTAGTATATAGACAAATAAGACGTAGAAATCATAGACACAGGCAAATTCATATAAACTACAGGTGAGCTACATTTTAATGCGATTAAAATAATATGAATTTTATAATTAAAGTAAAACATATCACCAAAAAAATAAATTATGTTTTAACTTTATACATAATTAAGTCAACGCAGCACGCTTTGAAAGGAGAAAATTTCGTTACAATTCTTCTTACTTTCTATGCAACATTGACCTTAACCCTATTTGTTGCCAATTTACAACCATACAAATTAAAATGAACTTATAACCCACTGCACTCTCCATTTTAATGCAATTAGCGTATGCATAATCCTTTGCGAAATTTTGGATCATATTTGTGGAACATGCTTGCATAATTTATGCGGTTTCAATATTTGCATATAATCATACCACACTTTGGAAAGTGGATCAAGTGCTTATCTATTAAATTTAGATCATGCGAAACAATGGAAGGTGGCGAAGTATTTACGCTGTTAGCACTTTCCAGTACTAGATGTAAAGTCTTCTCTAAAAAAGAATTAATGTACAAGTGCATAAACATGTGTTTAAAATTTTTTACATTGTTTCGGAATATGGACTACAACGTATTGCATTTTTGAAAGTTATATATTCAGAGAAAAATTGTATACATACTTGTGTGCAATATTTGCCATGGAGACACTTAATTTTTTTTGTTTTTCACTGCTTTCACCGAGACTGTGATTGTTTTGAGAACGGTACTACAGTTACGGTTCACTACCTTCCGTACTCCTAGCCGGCACCACCAACAGTAAAGACTTCAATTACATGAAGTGCACCAGTGGCGGCATTCCTTTACAATGTACGCATTACAAAATTAAACCAGTCTCCCATTTCTTTGTCCCTGTAGAAATATTCATTAAATATATGCAGAAGAGTGAGACATAAGCAAAACTAGCTTTCATGAATACAAGCATATTTTTACGTAACATAACTTTTAATTATGTAAATATCTCAAAGAATAATATGCTCGGTGGCTTAATTTCATGAAACCAGCAAAAAGAAATAAATACTTCAGAACCCAGCGATAAGTGCACAACTAAAAATAATGTTGCCAAATGTCGCTCTTAGACATTTAATTGGCTCGCAACTCAGCACAAAGGATTAAATAGGCTGCATGGTTGCATAACACCAAAACCTATAATTAAACGACTGTCATTATGTAGCCAAGCCTGGCACAAATACTGTCGTCCCTTTTCCAGTCCCCGCACATTGATTCAGTTCATATGTCCTTAAGCCAGAGCACAAATTGTGACCTGCTTTACTACAGTAATTTATTATTTGTGACTCACAAATAATAAATATGTACATATTCTGAAATTTGCATCCAATACTGTGATTCACAGTCTGTGAAGCACTTTTTCACCCGATATCATCAAACCCTGTGAAATATGTATTTTTATTTTCGCATTTCAACCCGGCCAATAAATTATCCCTGAAATTTACTGCAGTCAGTCTAGCCACGCTTTCCCACAAGAGAAGATAAAGTTTTTATTCTGCAAAGGAAACGACCTTCCTGAGTGCAGACGTGTCTGTGAGTAGGCAGCAGTGCCCTAAAATTGAGGGCTCTTCTGTGTGTGGTTACATCACTCCATCCGTTCACTTTGGTAGAGAAAGTGAGTAAATCCTCGCAAAATCCAGGCAACTTTTCACCAGTATCGCCATTTCCTAGTGGATGGATACGCAGGAAACGAGATGAAGCTATGCATGCATGCAAGGTGCACAAGTGAAATCATTACTGAGGTTCGAAAATATTACCGAAATAAAGAACATGTTCGTACATATTTTAGGGTTCAAAATCCCACGATGCATTGTTCCCTTTGTTGTTTAAGTTATAATCGGTTTCAATGAGTTATCCTGGATGCTGGAGTTGACGCATTTGCCACTTTATTCTGGAGTCAATGCCGGCCAAGTGGCTGACTAATGTGCCCCTGACACATGTCACACTACGACATTAATCTACTCCTGCTCTCCAGACTGCAATAAAGAAGAAGCATTTCGTTCCATATTTTGACACTTGAAGGCAAATAAAAGCCGACGTTGCGCTTTTGCTTCACTCAAAGTCGGAGTATTTAGTCAGCCTTAGGTGAAGCTTATGGGACGAGCCATATTGCACTGCACCCTTGAAAAAAGAAAGATGTAGATATTCTTAAGTCAAGACATTAAATCTCAGATGGGACCGATGATAAATGGAAGAGTTCATATTTTCTGTTGGTAAAACTGGTTCCATTTTTTAATTTTAGGAGAATTTCTATGCAGGAACATGGTTTAAATAATGAGAAGGTTAATACAATATGCGAAATAAATATAGAAATATTTTAACCCTTTTTTAATTTCCGCTGGATTTCATAATGTTTTAAAATTATTAATAGACCCAATTTCAGGAATCTTCCCTTGGGGTGTCGTTGATTCGATTTTCTTATCGATATCTTACTTTCTCCAATTTTCCATTTTTTTGCGAGGAGTAATTTTATGGGAACCTGACCCGATCGCGGAAACAAAATTGCTTTCTCTGACTACAACGAGCACTCTCGGATCAGATTTTCTCCCACTTTTACAAGTTTATTGCAGAGACGAGGGAGTCATTATAACCATTAGTTGTTTACTTTATGTCCCAAGCAATAAAAATAATCTCATTTTTTCTTAGGTGAGGCAAAAGTAACAATGGGTGCCGCCAAAAAAAAACCATGGTTACGGCGAAGCCTAAGTATGCTTTCGTATACCCCCTTTGAAACTGTCAAGAAGGCTAGAGCCTAAACGGTTAATCCTACGTAAAAGGTGTAAAGAGCAATCGTGCAGACGAGAATGAGGAGATGATGTTTTACAGCTTTCCTGGTAGAAAAGTCACATTTTGAGCCCCCAAATTTCAATTTGAAACTTTACAATCAAAATTTGAGACACTTGTATCAAAGAAATATATGCATAAAACCTGATTTTATTGTGCAAAAATCGGTTATGCATCATTTAAAACAAATCCGATTGAGATCGGTTCAAAACTGAAAGAGTTTTGATGGAGGCATCTGAAAATATTCATGTTGCTAAGCATTCTTCATAAAAATTGCAATGTAGCTGGTTGCTACTAGCAGCCAATATAACAATTTACTAAAAATAATAGTAGTTGTATTTAAGAAATTTCTTGTATAAAACATTTAGACACGCACTTGCTGGTCAGAGTTCGGAAATATTGGATTGGTGATTATTAATCCGTTTTGCCACTTCGTGTGGGTATTTTCAACTAATTTTTCATCGAAAGAATAATCAAATCGCATCGCCAGTTTCAAAGAGCTGACAATATTTGAAGAATAGTTTCACAATTTTTACAAGTGGAATTAATTGTTTAATTGTCTGTAAATATGAATCACCTAAAATTCATGAAATAAAATAACTTTAAAAAAGCTTCCTTAGGTGAGGCGCTGCTAAAAGTGAAAAACAAGATTTCTGGCCTTATCTTTTAAATATCTCGTCCCCTCATCATTGTAACAGGAGATGGTAGCTTTGCATCACCGCGAGGCCAGACATTTTACGCTAAGCTATTGCCAATAAAGAATATATTCACAATAATTCGCAACTCGGTGGAAGAAAGTCTAGGTTCATGAATTTCTCCAAATGATGATTTGTTACTTTCTCATTCGTATTGAGAACTAGTTGTGCTACTATTAAATTTGTTAAGGCCATCCATAAATTATGTAACGCAAAAATAGCGATTTTCTAGACCCCCTTTAACATGCGTAACATAGATACGATATATTGGAGCCTTAGACTTCCCCCCTTTCCTTACGTAATTTATGGACTTGACTGCCTGAAGTACTGGTCAGCTTGTGAAATAAATTATTAGCTAATTTAATCATATTCATCCTCCGAAATAGTTTTTATAAACTCAAGTTTATAAGTCTTCCGAAATAATCTGTTTATGCGTCAATATATATTTTAATTAGCAATACTTTAATTAATTTTTTAGTGGCAAATGCAATTTTTGTTATCGTTGCTGTGTGTAATGGTATGTTATATTTTTTTAAATGTCTAGCCTCGCGGTGATGCAAAGCCACCATCTCCTGTTACAATGATGAGGGGACGAGATATTTAAAAGATAAGGCCAGAAATCGTGTTTTTCACTTTTAGCAGCGCCTCACCTAAGGAAGCTTTTTTAAAGTTATTTTATTGTATGGTTCATTGCCCTGTGGGGAATTTTAATTGCGTCTTATTTCATTTTTAAGACATGTGCATATGTGACAGGAATAAATAACGCGGATGACTGTCTGCATGGGATAATTGTTGACTTTTCACTTTAATGAGAAGTTGGAGAAAGCAAGTTTATAAATTAACTTAATAAATGTAAATAATTGTTAGTTTCAATTAATTCGCTCACATATTTGTCAACAGCTTTCTTCAGACTTTAATGAAAATAAAAAATATGCACTTTAAAATCTTGGCACCGTTATTCTAACATAAATTAATAGATTATTACATTTCAAAATTTTCAGTAATTTTTAAATTTACTCCTATTCTTTGCAGCTGTTCCTGATAAACTTTCTACACGTGGAATATGTGAGACAATTTAGTTGAGTCCAAGGACATAAACTTACAACCGTGAAAAGCTATGTGATTAGTTGAAGATGAGTCAAAGAAAACAAATGAGCAGAAAATTATAATACTGATGAGATAAAGTTGTGCATTTTTGTGCTGGGTGGCGTGGAATTTACTGCCAAGCTAAGAGCGAAAAAATCCTTATCTAAACCACGATGGCAATCTACTATTATGTCCGGCGACTGCAAAAAGCTTCGAAAAAGAATCGGGTAAGAAAATAAAAATATACATAATAATTTTATTTTCTGTTTTCTAAATACTTTGGCCGGTCTTTTACAAGGTAACACACACTTTCTTCATACTTTTTCTTGTAAAAGTATTGCATAGCATAATACAAAACAGTGGGGGACATTAGGTCACAAATGCATTTTGTTTTTCCTTTCTTTCTTGCATATCATCCGAGTTGCTGTGCAGTTTGAGTTGTGTCTTCATGCACTAAAATTTCTATCAGCGTAAGCATTAAATTTGTATCTCAGCTTTGTGTGTCTCACTCACTCCATAGTTGTTCATGCAGCGTGAAGTCGTTTGGATTTGGAGTGGTTGAGTTGGATTGAGATTTTATGAGGGCTAAGAAGGGATAAGTGCCAGTGGTTGTTGTTTATAGGACACGCGGTTACGTAAGATTAGTAGGTCGCCAAAATCTCCTCATTTCCATCCATTTATTCCCAACACCCCAATTTCACCAACAATTCTGGCACTATCTGCAACCTGCAAAGAGAAAGTCATCGGGTTGTCCGTTGCAATAATTTATTGTCAAGTCTCACACTCCCTGAAGAATTGCAACCACCAACGGACGACCCTTTTTGTGCATGAAATTTCCGTGAATAATCTCGCATTCAATGTGTCTTGGTCCGATGGGGGTGGATAAGTGAAGGTTCTTTGGGGACGACATTGCTCACCACACGTTTTCACGGACAATTATTCATGTGTGTTGCTGGATATGTATTTCCCAAAAGGCAGAGTTTTGCTCTTTGATCTTGGTTGAGGTGGTTGCCATCAGAGCACAGAGGCAAACATGAAAGTTGGGATTGTATCGTTGTTTCAAACTTTTTGACATGTTGGTCTGCGGTCATCCTCACCTCATAAATCAAACGCTTTCACTTTTCATGAATGTTCAGAATATTTTGGATTGCTGAAATAGATGCCACTTTCTCTTAGCGGGTAGCTTTGGACACGTTTTAGTTTATGAAAACGCGTTACTAAAATATTCTTGCTAGAAAAAGAAAATGATGCACGCACCGACTCGCACAATTATTTTCTGCGCAAGCAGGAAGCATATTAAGTATGTTTCTTATAGGTTTTCTTCCTGATTTCAAATCATTGATTTTTGTTGTTGGACTAACAAACAAATCTTGTTTGTTTTCTGTTCTCTGTAAAATGACTGGAAGAAAGGCACCTGTCATCCGTGAAGCTACCAATCCGCATCATCTCATCCTGCAAATCAAAAACCAAATCAAATCAAGTTTACAATTGAGTGCACAAATTGGTTGAACAATTCCATGTTTTCCAATGAACTCATGGATTTTTGACGTCTGTTCAATCCTAGTTTTGTCATCTGCTCCGCCTACATACACATTTGTTGAGACCCATAACCTCCACTTCGTTCCCCCTTTTTCCCACAAGTTTATCTGTTTTCTAAAAAAATCCTTCTTACATAAGCTTAGAAACAAAGGCGTACATTCCCAAATAATTCTCAACCGCAGTGTTGCATTGAAATTCTGATCAGACTGAAATCGAAAAAATAGTCACCAATGCCGGCGAGGAATGTTATTTTATTTATGTAGCTGTCTCCAAATCCGAATTTTCGTGTGACTTTGTTCCATTTTACAGATTGCATCTGTGCTTGCAGTATTTTTTTAACTTGTCTGGATCACCAGAAGGAGGAGTATCTAGATACCAGGGTTTTTTTGATGGTGTTCATGTTCAAAAGGCTTCATGCAATGATCGCAAGAAGTTCTGTACAAAAAATTGCTTATCTAACACACAATCTTGATAAGTGTGCATCGCAGAAAAAGGGTACCAGAGAAAACAATGATTTTCTGATTTTTCCTACTTACTTGTGCAAAAATGCAGAATGCAATAGACGTGAAAAAATTTAAACCCAATTTCTTCCTTTTACCACCGGCATCTGGTTTTTGTCGATTGTGTTAAATTGCCTTGCATGAATTTTATTAACTTTCCTCTGCACTCCTTCCGTGCGTGTCACGTTTGGAGATAATGTCGTGTCACATCATTTACAATCATGGTGGTCGTCACCCAAAGCAGTTTTATATAACGTCCATTCGGAACCAGAGAATGTGGTTTACATTCTTGTCCATTTGTCCACAAATGGAAGCGGTGGGTGGGATGTGGGCGGTGTGATATGAAATTTTATTTCTATCGACGACTCGATTGCTTGTTATGCAATATTATCGGTTTATTAGTGTATTATTACATAAACTTTGAGGTTTCCCACTATATACAAATTTTTCTGTTCTAAAAATCAAAGTAAAAATAATTGTTTAAATTTTTGCAGACAATTCATCGCGACCCCATCGCACTAAATTCCAACGGTTCGATCCCGTCCGTGGGAAGCATCTGCACCCCGGTGAAAGCGAGCAACAAAGTGAGCGAGGTGGTGATTGGCTCCGTGACTGGACCTGGTTTGGGGGCACCTTCGACCCTCGTCCGTCATGGGAGGATCGTCCGCGTCCCCCTCTATCAGTTCAGCCCAACTACAGCAAAACCTCAATTTGTGTCATGTCATGGGTGGTGGGGGAAGTAGTAGTGGTATGAGTGTGACAATGACAAAAAACGTTTCAAGTATCAGTTCCATTCCTTCTCCGAGATTCCGAAACGGTACAAAAGGAGCAGGGGAAATTCCACACAATAGCTCTTCACACCTGGGGAAAGCAGTTCATCATCATGTAAGTCTTCAGAAATTAATGGAATTTCAAAAGTTTTTTTTTCTCAATTCTCACATAACCGTAAAATTGCAATCCGTAATACTTATTTTCAGCGCTGCATAGATTTATGAACTCTTGAATTTTGCGAAATAAGATAAGCACAGGGTTTTCTTGGATTACATAGATTTTCAAGTGTTTGGAAAGCCAAGGGAAAGTGAAAGTGAAGTGACATGAAAGGCTGCGGATAATAATAACATAACTACAAAATACAAAATCCATCCACATAATTAGATGTCGTATTTAAAAATTCCTGCCTGTCAAAGGTTTAGTTTGTATTCACTTTTGCCTGAACAAATGTGATTAACTGTATGTTTTCAGTGGGTCATGCGAAACCAAGCTTTCGTGCGTGCACATTTCCGTAAATAGTGTGTACCATCAAGTAATTGGAATGCAAATTCATATGAAGTTCCCAAAATTGTCAAACTTGTATACTTTAAATTACTTCTGTTACAATAGCAGTGTAATCCAATTATTTATCTAGAAACCCTGTACTTTTACAATGCATAGTCTTCACTTTTCCCTAGGCTCAAATCTCAAACTTCTCCTCTTCCCTTAGGTTACAGCATGTCAGATAATTGTAATGGCCTGTTTGGTACAAACTAAACTTCATTCAGCTACTTTATCTTCTTGCTTCAAATCCAGGGACAAATCCAATGTGTCATGTCATCCGACTCCCAGTTGGATGAGTAAAAGCATGCAAATCTGTTCTCATTTTGCGACGGACTTTGTTTACGACAGGGTAATATGATCGAATAAGATGGGTTTTAATGTAATTAAGGTCGTGACGATTTAGGGCCAATGTTTGATATTTATGTAACTATTGAGCCATATCTGCATTTAGGATGCTTTCGTATTTGATATTTTTATCATTTGGTGTCCAAAATAAATACGAGAATGGTATTCAGGGTCAAATAATTAATTCAAACTATTTGCATATATCAAACCCCGACATCATACTGCCTACGGAAAAGTAGCAAATTTTGGTATAGGAAGAAAACTTACAGATTTCTATGCAGTATTAAGTTTTAAATTTAGCAGCTTTTATTTCTTACCATACAAATAAAGCAAAGATAAGATTTCTGCTCCACTTCATAAAGTAAAGATAAGAATATTCTGGAGATGGGATTACCTCTGCCTTATTTCCAACTCGATTTGCTTCAATAACTCCATTAGAACTTCCGGAATCATCACTTTTCTCCAGAGAACTTGGTATCTTATATTCCGCACTTCCTGGGAACCTAATCCTTCACGGTTTGAACTTTCATGCAAGCAAATAATGTTATTAACTTGCCATTTGAATCTGGATTTGACGCCCACGCAGACCCAGACTTTTGCTATTTTAAGAGGATTTTATAAGTGATAAAGTGACACCTTCGTTTCCTCCGCAACTTTCACTAGAGAACTGAATATGTTGAACTAATCGGGAGATAATTTTGTAGGGTGATATCATATTAGTATAGATTGTAGACTTTAGTAGCATATTTACGTAATTTTTTGAACTGCCACTTCAAGAAATATGTGCTGAAAAATGTGTACATAATTTTGCGTTGTCATATGCAATACATGCTTGAGTTATGGCATGACATTGTTTTGTTACTTCTCCGCCGGTGTTCAACAGGCTTGAAAAATTATGCAACTTTATTAATTTAAAGTTACTGAAAGCTTCAACTTTTTTTATGCCTCCACTGTCAAAATCTGAATGGTTTTACCAACTAACAACTAATTCTTGCTTAATACGAGGTGGAAGCGAAATTAGCGTGGGTTTCAAATTATTTTGTGTACTCATCTGGAATTGTAATCAAATGTTATTTTCTCACCCACACCCTTTTTTACTATAGATTAGTATAAATACCGTTGACAATGCAACTCCATGATGCCAAACTTTTCATACAAGATATTAATACCTATGTACGTATATTTGATGAACAGTCATTGTCACTAATACCTGTATTGCCGGAATATTAGGCCGACATAAGCCCACAACTCATGGGCCTGGTGGGGTCTGGCTGGTTCATTTAATAATCGGTTAACAAGCTCCAACCAGCCGTGGAACCAAATCAGAAACAGGGACATGGAAAAGTATCTCCAGTGGAGAAAGCAGTTTCTGGTCGCACCGTGGGGTTCCCGTTCTCACTCCATTGTCTCCAGTGCATTCAATGGTTCCTGTTTACGGGAGAGATAGTAGAACCAAGAAAAGTTGCTTCTTATATAGAACCAAATAGAAATAAGCATGCTATTTCATCATCAGTTTTATTATCTGCTCACCGTTAATATTACTTTGGAAAGGAAACGAGGACAAGAAAATCGACTGAAGCATGTAAGCAAAAATGATTAAGTGTCTTAAAGAGTTGGAAGGTTTTTGGTCAGCCAAACTGCATACTGCATAAATCCAAGTCTGAAGAGACAATCTAATTCTTATACGGGACTGATTATCCAAGCCATAAGGTCGAATAAAATATTATTGTTCATTATTCTCAGTACACGAGTATTGATGAATTTCGGGGGTGCGCATAGGCCGTTATTTTGGTCTCGTGAAATATCTTCATTAAGTGGAACGGTGATTGTCCGCTGAGAGAAAGCTTTGCACTTAACTCATTTCTCAACTAAGGATAAGTAATGTCGACGTCTCATCATCACATCCAGTGTCACTCTTATGGATAATAGCGTGTAATTCATTTGGGAGGGGACCACGCCTGTCACGATTATTGCGAGTGGATGCATTATCACCTAATGGATCTAAGCAGCGAGAACGTGCGATATAAATATTAGTGGATGTAATTTTGGACCTCGATAACAGTGGTTGAAATGAGTCTACATAAATCTGCTGCAGTTTTCTACCTACTAATGTATCTAATAAATCAATAAATACGATTGGAATAATATTGGAGATGTGTATTAGATCTTATATCGAGTTATTTGGATATATGCATATTTAGAACTTTCTCGTGTCTGAGATACGCAGAGATAAGTCAGATGAATGTTCGTGTATGGTATCATATTTCCTCATATTTTGACTTTGTTTCACAAATGTGAGCTAAATAACTTCTTAAGACTTCCTGGACTAATAGAGATCAGTCTGTTATACCGAAACCTCATAGTTTTTGGTCCCTCTTTGGGCCACTGCTTTCTCTCGCAAAAGATGATTAATGAGCAAAGTCTTTGATGAGTTTCGGATGAACACAATGAACTCGTCCTCCTTGTATTGTCCCAGATTTGGGACTGCTATTTGATTTTATATGCTTCTAATAATGATGCTATCATCGGAACAACCTCATTTACTGACTCATGCTTTCCCTTAATGACGGAATATTTAGGGCGTGTAGTTTGTTTGTTGTACTTGTAACACTTAATGAATCTAAGGCCAAATATTTAGTATGGATATATATGTGAAATTATACCAGGCATTTATGTACGTCAACAAAATCAGTGATTGCTTGAAATTGGCGAAATGTTGAGACCTAAGTTATACATTTTAATATATTCTTTGGTCCTTTGTCCGACGAAAGTCAGTGTCTGTTCTGCTTGCCGGGATATTTATATAGATACACAACTTCCGAATAAAGTTAAACACAGACTACTCATTAAGCTGTGTTTAATGAAATGAAAATTAGTTGCGTAAGAGCATGATTTTACGACATGACATGTTTAGCAACAATTTCGTATTTCGCCGTGACTCTTGGATGTTATGCTACTCTCATTTGACAGTACAACTTCGCATTCCCTTAATCGAATAACACGGACCGTTTAGAATCAATTACTGTATGACCTATTTATACACTTGGCGCTAGCGGGGGTAAAGTCTCTTGCGAGAAGCACTCTATAACTAATCCTAAGCATAGGGATTAATTAGGGGGATTTAGCGTATAATTATAATGGGCGTGTGTGGTTTACCAAACTATTTGGCGTAGGGTCTCTCATATTAATTATGTGTAACTGTTTAGAATTCTTCAGACTTGCACACCTACGCGTTTTTTTTGGTGGGAGGTTAAAAAGTGAACTAGACTTTCGAACGTTGGGGTTGTGCACATTAGCTAAACTCTTGAGACAGCGTATTCCCGACAGTACGGGTAAAGGGTAATGACACAGCGCAGACAGAGTGTCGTACAGCTACTTGGGGAAGGATATTTCCTTCTTCAGAAAATTCTTAAAGTCTTAACCAAGGTGGATGATGCTGTCACAGTGATTAATGATTTATTTTTTAATACAAATTTAAAACGTGCAAGTTTTGGTGATAATTAAGTTTCGAAATTCAGTATTCTAAAATTTAGAACTGCTGTTCTGACCGAGAGCTAGTAAATGTATCGAATAATAGTTACAAATGTGTCACAAAAATATTGAGCAATTCAGAAGTAATTGATAAAATCGCAAATACTGTAAAATCCTTGTACAAATCTTTGTACGCAGATCAAAGGTGTCTCTTATTTCGCAACAGTTTTTAAGCCAATTTTACAAAACTTATGGATTTTGCAATCTTACGAAAAAAAAATTACCTCATTAACTTTTAAAATAACTTTAGTAAGTTTAAAATTCTGGTTTTAGGTGCTGTCAGGTAACCTTATTTTTGACGAAGGAGGACATCTCCTTTCAGGGACGTTGGAGGGTTTGGTGGATTATTTGGTGCCATCAGAAGACCACTTTCCCGACAAATCGTTCGTTTTCGCTTTCATTCTCTGCTCCAGAATCTTCATCCGTCCACATCAACTCCTCGCCACTGTGCTCCATCGTGCCTTTCTGAACAAGAATGTAAGTCTACAGTTTACTTTATTTGCCTTACCTGCATACAAGTACAAAAGTTGCACAGCCCAGATTTTCAACGGTGTTCCACAAGTTCTTTTTATGCATACTTGGTTTTATTGTGACCAACACTCTAACCAATCCAGTTACTGCAGAAACATGTTTCCAAGTTAAATTGGGTCACCATATTCGTGAAGGTTGGCAGGTTCGCTTTTTATGACTACAACAGAAGGAAGGAGGAAAGAATTCATAGAGTTTGTCTGATGAGATGTCGAAATAAAACGACATCAAGGGATTTTGTGCAACTTTAAGAAAACAATTCTTTCTAACTGTACATACATATCCGCATGCTATCAAATAGAATAGAAATCACGACCGTCACATCAAAGATGTCATGAAGAGTTAAAAGCTTTCTTGATTCAATTTCCCTAGCATATTCCAACATCAGGACGGCTGAGGTTTTAAATTTAATAATTCACTGACTTCCATTCAGGTTGAACTACGCAAACCCAATTTACTTCAAAGGGTTTTTTTGAAATTTGACTGGAAATGTATTAAATTGATGAACAGTAAGTAATAAGAAATTCTGGGAGTAGGGATGCATAAAATTAGTCTGGTGCCCGTTGAAAATTATTGCTAAAAGGAAATCAAGCGTATCACTAAATGAATTATCTATCATTGGTTTTGTTGAACTTTCCAGGATGAAGACTCGATTCGAATTGTTCCAAATTTAGTCCGCATATTAGGTGAATGGACTCAAATATTTCCGTACGATTTTCGTGATGACAACGGTCTGATGATGGCCAACGTTCGAGCTATCACGCACAAATGTGTCCATATATGTCCATCGGTAAGTATACAAATTTAAACATACCCAAATTTTGCATTGTGCACCTGTTGTTCGTTATGTCGTGTCATGCAAATAATTACGTGAATAATGTATTTATTTTCATGCTGCAGATGAAAACGGAGGTGTCCATCCTTCTCACTTCGCTCCTCGACAGATTCAACCTCCTGGAAAAGTTCGAATCTAACTTGGCCAAAATTAATTTGGAAGTTCAAATGGCATCCAATCACGCAATTGTGGTGAGTTAAATATTTTCACGCTTAGACTGAGTTAGCACAAGTTTACATGAATAGAAATGTTCGCAATAAGCTAAACATTGGCTTGCTATGTGTCGCGAAGATTGCAATCCGTTTAAATCGTTTCATAAAATAACGACACTTCTTTTTACGCCTAATTATCTATTTTCCTCTTTTCTATGTATGAAGAAAGTAAGCACCTTCTCTCCTTCGTCGTGTCGATATTGAGAGTGAGCACTACAACCGTGTCAAACTTTGTTGCCAAATAGGCTCTGAACTTTCACAAAATTCCACACAGCTCCCATATAAGTAAATAATCCGGAAAAAAGTTTGCCAGAAAGTGAAACCAGGCCGAAAAGTCACGATGAACGAAACATGGAGGGCGAGAGGTGAACAGGAAGACTAAATTTTCCACTGACTTGGTTTGATGCAGTGAAACGGGGTGGTTTTCTATAATAAAATGAGAAGAGAAAATGAGCAATATGTGTACAAAAAGCCCGAATTTTGTATCTGGATTGTATTGCGGAAAACGAAAAGTGTGGCAGCGTTAGGAGTTAGATATTCAATTAGAAAACATAACAAACATGAGAACGCTTCACCAGAACAGTGGTCGGTTGATTTTGCTTTCACTGGGAAACTTTTTCATAAAATTTAGTTTTTGACACATAACTGCACACTCAATGCTTAGAATCTCCATGTAGCAAATTCTTCCCTATTCATCTCTGCATGCAATTTAGTAATGAGCAATTTTGGCGTTGTGAAATTTCCTGTACAAAACATATTAGCCGTAACATCAAATCTAGTAACTTTATTTTCTCCTCCCATTGAAATAAAAAAGTACATCTTTTATCACAAAATCCTTTGCAAGACTTACCTCGTCTGACTCCCCGCTTAATCCGAGGCAGATGTGAATGTGTCGTATATGGTAATAGAGAAAGTCGAATTGGATGTTTCCAAAGGAATATCTTTCTCTGGTGCTAGTACATAATCTCTGAAATTTTTTTATACGTGGGCACTTGGTTCTGCATCCTATTTATGTATATTTTAATTTATTCATCCTCTATCCCATGGTGCTACTGTTTGATGTGTATTGGGTATGTATACAGAACTTATCCAAACAGAGATTATGGTCATGAATTTTATGAAAAAAGACACGTAGCTATGCAATTTTCTTGAGAAGCAAATTAATTGAGAGTATAAAGTTTACCAGAGTGATCTATTTAGTTGTAGAAAGGATAAGGAGCTAGGCAATATTTAAGTGAGTACATAACACGAGTCATTTGCTAAAGATTTTCTAAATCTAATGTGTAATGATAATCAAGTCATATATACGGAGCAATATAAAATTCTAATCTCACCAACAATTCCTTCCAAAATTAAAGCTTTTGAGACTGCTTAAAATAATTCATGCTATAAATTCGTTCACAAAAAAAATTGTGACAGCTAAAGTCCAACTTTTCCATCGACCCTCTCTCCATCAATCCCGACAAGACCAAGGATTTGAATTGATCCAAAATCTCCCAATCGAATCTGAAATTTAGACCAAACTAGGCTTACCCTGTCGTCTGATTTTCAAACCATGTATTCAAAGTTGCTATATTCCATCAAAGTTACAAAGTCTCCGACTGCATAAGAATTTGATTGATTGGGACGAATAGTGGAGAAGAAGAAGAATGAAAGCTTCCACAATTTTGGCCATGACAACTCCATTGAGTGGATTTAGACTGGCTTTCTCCCATCTCACGCCTTCACCCGCTTCCTCCTGCACTTTCTCCCTCGCATTTCATATTCGGTTTGGTGGGAGAAAGTTGAGTTGTGTATGACGAGTGAGAGAGCAGTCCAACCAGCCGGGTGTCGGGTTCAGTGGAGAAGAATGAGATGAGATGTTGGCTTTGAAATACGTGACCACACTGAACAAGTTCTCACCTTAGGTACGTCTATAGGAGAGCGAATGAAAGGAACAAGTGCACCATTAAGTCGACTACTTGGCTACCTGAAATCATTACAAGATTTTATTTCATCCCGTTTATTAACTTTCTTGAAGAGAAAATTAATTATGGTTCTGCGTAGTAAATTGCGTATACCAAATGCTTTACAAAATTGCGCTGGTTGATTAAACCCATAAAACTCTGAGGGGGAGTCAAGTTCTGGCAATTCAAGAAACGGAATCCAAACAAAAGTAGCAATTTCCTTGAGAAATCCGCATCATTCGGGTTAACATGGTCTGGCGTTGAAACGTGACCAAAATATAATCCAGCTCGTGTTACAAAATAGTGGAATGCAATGCAACCTTTGTCTGTTAGACGGACACAACCTGTCGCAGTAATTTCTTGTAAATCAATTACACCGCAGTAGTCATGACACTGGCGTTACGCCACGAATAAATTGCTTTGATGTGATGACAAGAGGTATTTTTAGTATCACATACGTTACCCAGGTAACACATAGGCTGTACCAGATGAGTACCGAGGTGGTCAACTTGATACTGTTGGTCATGTACCGTGCAAATGATAGGCCTGGAAAAAACAGGTAAATGCAAAAGTAATTTGTTCCGTGTTTGTGAAGGTGAAACTGTTTACACGTGACTGTGCGTTACCGATAATTTTGAGCAGGGTTATTATCGTTCTAGTATATCGGGCATCCATTACGGAATAGAGTCGATAGTGGCAAATTGGTTATTGCAGTACCTCGTCGTAAAGGGCCCATACCGCCATATTTCTTGACTATGTCGCCAATATACGCAACTTGTGCAGCAGTTTGTTTATATGTATTTCAGGAGGAGGAATCAAAACTGGTGAAATTTTACTGCAATCCACGCCATGTAGCAGAGCAGTTAATGCTAGTGGAGTTGGAACGATTTTCATTCATCGGGGTACAGGAATTTATACAGGTAACCTTCCTAAATTGGCACATTTGGCACATTTATTTTTATGCGCATATAGATATGTATGTTGACACATATTAGTAGTAAATGTTCATAAAAATGCCGTATATGTATGTACATGCCGATTGAGTTTAAGAATTATTAAGAAATCGTGACCTGAATTCGAGAGGGTCGTTTTCAGCTTGAATGACTGCACAAATTGCGAATTAGTCCCAGAAGACAAGGAAAGAACGATAAGTCGTTTATTGCGAAAAGTTTACATTTGTAAGGATTGAACTTGATTGGACTGTTACAGTTGGAAACTGGTATAAATAAATACTCGCAGCCAGTGTAGGTAACAAACCGGCCAATATTTTCTGTAAATAAGTATTAGAAAACAAGATACGTAAACCTGGCAAATCCCAAGAAAGTAACCATTCTCAAAATACCAAAATATACAAACTTTGTAATGATTTTCCTCTAATTAAAGAATATAAATTGGATTATGATTGCACGGTTTGGTTAATCAGATTAAGGAAAGTTTACTTGCACCTCAAATCTAGGCATTCATCAAGGAAAGCTGCTCACCACCATCAAATTCTACGACCACATCAAATTCCAACACGACTGGGGGTACGCCAAGTCCCATCGTAAATGCTCACGGAGGCAACGCAGGTAGATCAGGAAGCAAATCGAAGAAATCTCGACTGGAATTTTACGTAGATTGGTTTCATCGCCTAAATCTCTGCGTCGCCACGGATATTTGCAAGGTGTGGATATTCATAAATAAACTTGATTTTAAAAGAAGTTTGTTTACCTTCCTGGAAAAATAAGCGAAAACCGAAAGACCAATCTTAAACATAATTATAATGCTTTTCGTCATCTTAATTTGCCATTGTCTACGCAGATCACTCGAAAGAAAGAGCGAGTTCGTGTCATGGAGTTTTGGGCGAAAGTGGGGTCAGATTCCGTCACTTTGGGCAATTACAACTCTGCGATTGCTGTTTTCACCGCAATCAACTCTAACCCGGTCCGTCGGCTGACAAAGTCGGTGAGTAGGCGCTTCTTATCTCAGAAACCACCCCTCCACTAAAAACTACTTTCGCAAATCTCATTAATTTATTCACTTCTCGTGCAGTGGTCCAAATTCACGGGACAAGAAGATCTATCCGCTCTAGAATCATGCTTCGACCCATCCGACAACTTTTCCCGTTATCGTTCCAGACTGAAGAAGGTGGGTGGAGATTTTCATAACTTACTCAACAGACACATTCGTATATAAGTTTTTTACTTCAAAATTTTCTTGTGCGTATAATAGTGACGCAATTCTCAGATTTATACAGAAATACTTACGTAAATACATATTTGTTAGAAGGGGTTTACTTTGGATAGACAAATGTGATTGATGAACGTTCTCTTTTGGGATTATAGGGAGGATATGCACTAGTGCCAGGAGAGGTTGGAGTAAGTGGGTCGTCTTCGTCGTTTATGGTGCTGCCATTCTTCTCCCTGCTCATCAAAGATCTCTTTTTCCTTAAAGAAGCAGCTGCATCAAGGTATGCGCGATGATTGCGAGTCAGCAATTTTCTTCCGGAGATTAATTTTCCCTCCCTCCTTTCTCTCTCCCCACACTAACCTCCACCCATCGACTTTTCACCGCCTCATCACATTTTACATTCTCTGTCCAGACTGCCAAACGGCCACCTCGCTTTCTCCAACTTTCTCCAGCTGGGCACCAAGCTGAGCGAAGTGATGAGATGGCAGGAGCACAAGGCGGACGAGCTGAACAAGGTGGCTAATTTGCAACATGTGATACAAACTCTGCCTGCTTTCACCGAGTCGGGTAAGGGAAAGTTGGTCTCACTTTTCTTATTAATATGCATGCGTATTTAGGTAGATAAGAGAATATTTATAAAAGATCGCTTCAAGTCATGTGATCGCTTATTTATTTGCGCAGCGTTGATGTTGTCGTCCTTCGACTGCGAGGGTCCAGCCAACCCAGAGGAGGAAGCAATCTTGGAATCTTTACGACGGACCGTCCCACCACCTCCACCGGAGGAAGAAGAGCTGACCGACTCTTTTCAGTCCCTCCAAATACCATCGACCAGTTCTGGTTCCACTTCCGGTGTTCATGAGGACGACTCGGTTGGACTCTCGCCAAGTGAAATCCACAAACTTTTACAGTGCAGATTTGCACATGACGCTATATTCTCTGGACCAAAACTGTCTGACATATTTTCATCGAATAATTTGATAGGGATAGGAAACTATCAACAGGGTGAGGATGGAGTTTGTGGGGCTGGTTTGATTTGTAGCGAGGCACAGATTCACCAGTCTCCACGTACGACAATTATTGCTGATATTACCAACAGTGTAGATAACACGGGGACAATTAAGCAGATTAAACAAAAACCACCGGTCCCCTTATGACGACTGTAATAAGACGATATGTGTACTGATCTGTGATACTTGATGATTTTACAGTAACCTACTTATAAATATAGACGTTTTAAATGTCTAGTTTTAGAATGTGGTGGACGAACTGAATAAAAAATTATGTGCACACAAATACCTACCTACACGCTCGTTTGTACAACAGAATCTAATTTTCCGTTACTCTCAAAATTATTCATGTTCACCGAGTTCATAAATTATGCCGACTATTTATCCGTGTACATTTTCCGGAGTCTGGCATGCTCAGCTTCAGGCAAGATATGTTTGCTTAATTTGCAGTCTTGTCTCCAAATAATTTATGGACTTACAACACTCCTCCAGTCGCACTTTAGAAATTTTGCATATCTGCCAAAAGGCGAGATTCGGGTCTGTAGCTCTGGCTGAACGTTGGCTGAAATGAGATGCATCAATTTTCAATTTATCCCTACTTTCTCTAGAGAGAGAAAATCTAGCCCAAAAACGAGGCTAAAACCATCCCTTTCTTGCTCGACCCTAACTCAAGTATTTTGTGCTTAAGAATTCATAAATCTGTTTCAGTTGTTTTTTTATTCGTAATAAACATTTTCGAAATTTTAATTTTAAAATCTAGCGGATGTATACAAAATCTGAATAACTAAATCTTAATAACCACAATTAAATAATTATTCAGACTAAAATTGCAAACTTTTTTGTTTCGATTTTCTCACATTACTCAAACCTCTATTAAGTAGACGCCACTCTTTTAATTTTACATGAAAATTTCAGCTCTCCTAATGGCCTGCCCGTCATACATACGTCCGACCCTGCGAGTTGATGATGAGTAATGGACACACTTTTATATTTAACAACAACAAGTAAATGCATTCCATTACAAGATTCTCCCAGGAAATGCTTCGCTGTTGTCTCTTTTTTGCTGTATTGTGTTTTTCCTCTGTCGTCTTTTGGGGGTTTGAGAATGTCACAGAGAAAGTGGATCCGGGTATTTAGAGGCCATAAGTGTCCATCCGAGGTTCCAAGAATTTAAGACTCCCACGAGCCAAGATCGTCCTCCCTTCTTCCTTCTTCTCTTAAAAACGACTCCTACACCGGAGGAGGAAATGTAGCGCAAAGATTGAGATCTTTCTGCAGGCTCTTGTTCTATGTGCATCAGAAGCCGGTCTCATACGAAGAGAGACTTTTTGATACACGAAGAGAAAACATATGGAGAAAGCACTTGTGGTTTTTTTATACTTGGACAAACTATCCCACTTTGTAATACTCACATAAAATGCAGATATATAGGATTATGTAGGACGAGGGTACAAATATGCATCTTGGTTCCACGGGGGACTAATTATTAAAATGTGAGAGAGATTTTTACACTATTCCTCTTGACTTTGGGTTGTTTACTGCTACAACAGATTTTTAAATTTCGTAATACTATGCATGCATTTACATGTTTGCATGGATATCATATTTGACAGTTGTGCAAGCCACCTGACGAAATATCTAAATACGTGTGTGGACTCAAAATTCGACTACAATATCATGTCTTACTTGCTTTAGCTAATCTTCAAAAAATTGCCCCTTTTCCCGTGGAAGAAAACTTTTAAGGTGGTAACATGGAAGTACGTGTGCATCCAGTACTTGTTACCCTCTCATGTGGTTCTCTCTTTCTTCTATTCTAAAATAAATTGAGAACTGTGAAGATAATGAGATGAGGGATTGCGGGCTGGAAAGTTTGTCCACAAGTTTTTCATGGAAAAGGGAAACTTTGACAAAAAGGAGAAATAGTCTCAGGCTTATCCTAACAAGTAGGCGTGTATACATAGTCTTGGTTTTCAGCTTTGACCTGCCCATGGAAACTTTCCTGTCTTCGGGAAAAGCTCACACGGTGGCTATTTTCCACCACGGCGTTGCTTTCTGTAAAAGGACAAGGGCCACAGTGTACATTTCTTGCGTCCTCCCAACAATAATCGCGTCTCGTCACACAAGAGTAAACTTTACTGCTACTGCTGGTCTAACCGGTACAAGGTTCCGTTTGAAGTTGTCATTACAAAGCAGTATGGATTAATTTTAAAAATTAACTTTCACTACTAATTTCCCTCTGTATTTCATGACCAGATTTTTGTTTAGGAATCATCTTTGATTGTCTGCATACATAAATAAATGTGAAAATTCCAAATTTTTTTTCATATTTACATAGCAAAGAATGATCCAGATAAGAAAATAAATCAAATATTGAACAGAATGTACACACTTTAACTTTCCATTTCCACCATTTTCATTTCATTGTCCGGCCAAGAACTGGATTTGGCATACGCACACAGCACGACATCCAAGCAAATATTATTTGAAAGTAAAAGTCTTTCAGTTAGCACAGCGGAGCCAAGCGGATCAATTTTTCCTTCCTTTATCCAATAAAGCTATTTATCCTACTGATCCTTCCTGTTTACTAACTTCCACGAAAAGTGGGTATCAATGGTTATTGATCGGATCGGATGTTCCCAATGTTTTACTTTCGCGATGGTTGGTGAGAGAAAGTAGATAGAGTTATTTTCAGTCAAACCGTGTAGAATTGTTGTGTAAACGTGGATCTCAATAAAATATTCCGTGACGAAGTGGAGCATCAGTCTTGAGTCAGTTAAAGTGTTGCTAACTAAATGACATTTGACATCGTCTCTTCACATTTGATTGGGTGTGGAGATTGACTCATATTTATTAAGTGCACGAATTGTCACTTTCTTAATTCCCTTGGCACTTAAGCTGCTTTGTTTCATTTATAAGAATAGAAAGCAAAACAACGATGTAACAATCGATTAATCAATTGTTTACAGCAAAAATGGATTAGACGCCTTCGTTTGCTCTCATTCAATTGAACACAATTGTTTACGGATGAGGAAATTCAATTACTAGTGGGTCGTGTCCTTTTGGCTTATGAGAAAGTTCTTCTGGAGAGTGATGACACAAGGTAACGCTCGTCAACGAAAATATTGGTAGTGAGGAACGAATCATGTGTTAGCTTCCCCATTAGTTCATATTAATTGTAGTCTCACAGTATGTCTGTGGTGTTTAACGTATTGCTCTATTAGCCTAATGCATTAAAGTTATTTATCACAAATAACTACATTTTAACTAAATTTCATCTTGTTTCGAGATGAAACAATTTTTTTCACGAATTTTTCGTTTTTTCAACAAGTGCAATGCCTACATTTTTAGCTGCGTAGTTTCCGAATCAAGTGATGATGGGCAGTCATTAATCACTGATATCGAATTCGATCAGATTGTTACGTAAGATGATCAATCGTTGCAATCTATACGAACAATGCCCCCAAAATTGAATCAGAGTCTTAATGCTTGACGTAACCAAAGTATTGTTACGTAAGGCTAACGTAATGTTTTTTTTGAATTGTGATCAATAAATAAAATGAATGAATTTGTAATCACAACAAAACAAATACATTTATTTCTGGAAGTCTAGCATCTTTTCAAGAGAAACAACAGTTTCTGCATCTCTCTTTGGTGAAATTGAACAAAAAATAGGAATCGGACAATGTTTTTATCAGGGACCAGAAATACGAACCATAATATGTGGATACTTGAGACACAAATAAATCATACGACAGAGCGTCAGAGGAAAGATAGTGCTGAAACGAGAGACAAATGGTCTTTCATCCCCTGATGCAAGCATGCATATTTCATAAAGCACACTTTATCACACAAACTAAAAATCCGTGTAACTAGTTGGAGAATTGTAAGAACTTCTGCATAGGTCTTAGAATCTAGGAAGTATAATTCCTAATTATAGCAAAATTTGAATCAATTTATTAACAAATTGGATTTTGACAAAATATTTATCAATTGAGGTCATTTCTGCGAATTCATGGTACAATGGTCGTATAAAAAATGTCGTCAGTTCCTTACGTTCAGGACATATTAACCCTTCAACCCGATTGAATGGACTGTTCACCTCTAGTATTATTCCCTCTCAGAAAAAAAGCGTTGGTATATCATTGGCCGGCCCACCTGGATTGAAATCGTCCCGGGAGACATCTTTATATCCGTAATTTTGAAACTGAAAACCCGACCACACTATCAATTCAATTCGAATGGAATGAACCAAGTCAGCATTTCCTGGCAAATCTCTACTTATGATTCTCGCGTGGGATTGCACAACCGCGACTTTTCAATTCCCATAACATTTTACGACATCATTCTCACTCTCTCGAGCAGTTATTACGATGAATGTATGGATTTCAGAGGAGGTGCTTGCGACACAGTTTTCCATACGTATGGCTTTTTGGAAACGTGCAAATAGATAGATTTCCCCATTTTGAAGAAGAATAGTTTGGTGTGGGCAAATAAAACTGGTCTTTTGCACACAAGCCATGTCGATTTTTAGCTTGATCTGAAATATTTTCAGGAGTCACTGACAGTCGCATGACGTAAATTTATTGAAGGAAGATGTCATATGCAGATATAAGTCAAATATTTAAATATTTATAGGCAGGTTTGGAAACACACCTAATTAATTTTTAACAATTTTCGGCTATATACAAACACAATACGAGAATTTGTTGTGGAAAACTCTTGTGCATATAAAATTAGAATGCATAAAGTCGATAAAAACATAAAATTTTAGACGATGTTTCGCGTGGTGAAGCCAAATGTTTGAACCAGCTTTCACAGATTTAAATTGCGAATCATGTGGGTTTGCAGGCGCCATACAGCTTGTCGTTGAGGTAAGTACTGCCAGAGGCTAAAAACACTATTTTCACAACTTTCACTCAGATTGCTTCTTCCGGGTTTTAACAGCAATTCTTCAGAATCCACTTCACCAGGTCCTGGTTTTCGGTGTTGACAAAGATAACTTCTATGAAAAGGAACGCGTTCAATTACATGAAGTGCACCAGTGGCGTTGTTCCTTTCAAGTATATGCATTACAAAAATTAAGCCAAACTTCCTGTTTTTTGCTTCGTATGAATATTCATTAAATGCCCATATTTAAGACTCTTAAGTACGAATTTACCAGTTTTTTTTTTGGAATGCTTATGACCCTCTATCTCCCTTACGGACCGATTCCCGTCCATATCTTCACTTACACCTCCCTTTGACCCCGATCTCAGCTCCCTGGATGATAATTATGATGATCCCTTTGACTTATGATAATTATGATGACGATGACGATGAGCAAATATGAAGTGTGCTGGATGAGATGAGAGTGGAATGCCGGCCAAATCAGGAGACGGAAGAGGAGATGGTCACAATTCCGAGGTCGATTTATTACTGGCCAAGTTTAAGATCTGTACACGAGTTTTAAGATTACAAATGTCTACGAAATTAACTCCTCCTTCTCTACCAATTTACACAGACTGTCCATGAGAGGGAGCACACGAGGTAGTGGGTTCCGTGTGGTTACATGCTAAAACAAGTTTTATTGTTTTGGGTTACTTCGTGATGCCGCATCTCATTTCCTACATGTTGCATAAGTTTTTTTTAGTGTAATCGTTTTAAATTGGCCCTCGTTTTCAAGCTTTATACCTGACATTTCCGCACCAAGTGGGTTCAGTTTCGTCTAACGAATGGTAGAAGCATTCTGAGTTGCATAAAATATTTAAATGGCAAAACTTGGCAGTTTTGTATTAGTTGGTTTTAGCGATTGTCAAAATGCATATCAACCATGTGCTTAATGTTTTCCACTATTGTCAGTTAGCGTATGCACCTGTATAATTTGTTACAATTTTACTATGTACATAGAAATCTGCGTTTTATTTATGCAATATGCGAGTACATATTTATATGCATGCGGAAATTGAAAATACCTATTTTATTTCTGTAGTAATAAATATTGAGTGACATTTACTGCAGCAAGTCTCATTTTTCTCTCCGACACGAGCATACGAGAGGATAAAGTTTTTACTATGAAAATGGTCGAGTATGCGTTAGTTGAGTGGAGACATAATATTGCAGTAACATTGAGAGCCTTGTCTCTGCGTGTAGCTTTATGTGGTTAGATTTTCTGGGGTGCTTTCACTTTGGTGGAGAAAGTGAGTAAATCCATGCAAAATCGGGACAACTTTTCATCCTCATCATCATTCCGTAGTGCATGCAGACGAGTTAAATTTCGGAGAAATAAAGCATATCCAGAGATACAGAGAGAGATGTGCATAACGTTACGCAAGGTGGAAAAGATGAACCATTATTGTTCACAAAGCAAATATTAGTTTAATGACACCGTGTGTATTGCGAATGCACGTGGAACGCGAAATATCTAGTTGGCAGACACACGTTCTTTCTCTTTCGTCCATCTTTTGTTGTTCGCGTCACTTCAGATTCACATAATAATCGTTTTGAGTTTGAGAGAGCTGTGGAGCTGGAGTTGACGCATTTTCCACTTTATTCTGGAGTCGATGCTGGCCAAGTGGCTGACTAATGCCCTGACACATGTCACACTACAAAATAAATCCACTCCCTCTTCCCCACGAAAAGGATGCCTTTTTCTTTGGCTCATACTTGATATGCTCCAAGCAAACACAATCGGAAGGTTATGTTGATAGTGAGGTCGATTTCACTCAACCCCAAAATATTCAGGAGGAAGTCAGAACTTTGTGATGGAAGGTCTCGTGGAAAATTATACTGCAAAATTTTTTGAGAAACAAAAAATATCACGTCGCTATGTATCTGCATCACTTACTAGAATTCAAACTTGTCTAAATTTTAAAATTCATCTATGATATGAATTTTTAGCAAAACTTTTTAACCTCAGTAAGTCAAATGATTATGAAATTATCCGAGTAATTGCAAATTATGATTTCTGATTTCCCCAAAGTTTTGCTAAACTTGCACTATTTTCATAATATGATTTCCTTGGGCTTAGATTTTCGTTAATTTGATCTTCTTCAAAGAGTTCAATTCCTCTTAGTTTGTGAGGAAACCGGGTAATTTTATTGGGACCCGATCACGGAAACCAAATTGCTTTCTCCGACTATTACGAGCACTCAACTCTGATTTTCTCTCAAAAAATCTCACAAATTTATTGCAGAGACGAGGGACTCATTATAACCATTAACTGTTCGCTTTATGTCATAAACAATAAAAACATATCCTAATTTTTAAGTAGTTCATTGCTCAGATGGGAAATTCCATTGGGTGTTATTTCATTTTTGAAGCAAACCTTATTAGGAGAGAAATGTATTCACGATTGAATTAGCAATATGCCATGAGGCAGATCACTTACGATCGATCGATTTAAAGCGTCAAACACTCTTGTAATTAAGTGGTCAAACCTCTTTATGTCCATGCTCTGTCTGTCCGTCCGTCTGCAATGTCTGCATATGTTCTGAAGCTCGCAAGACACGATAGAGCCGTGTGGTTATCCCAATTCGAAAACACATCAGGGATCTATATGCAAGGTTGTTTTTTAAGACTGTGATAAGCTTACGGCAGGGTCAAAATAGGTGACAGGGGGGTTTAATTACAAGGTAGGTCATGTGACATATTATTTTGAAGATATTTCAAAATATGCCACTAACGCGATTGCAAGGATCACTCTGCACCTTATGTGTAACAACGTGAACCAATGGAATAAAGCACTTCTAATATACAGAAAATTTCGCCTCATACTAATTATCTGGTTTACTAAAGTCTCATATCTTGGAAGCCGTTGTATCTAAAAACATCCTGCAAAAAATCCAATGACACAATTTATTTTATTATTCGAGCAAGCTTCAAAAAACTACTAGGTGTAGTAAAACCTGCTTTTACTGACGTACTTTCTCCATTTCTATGCTTGTAAATATTTTACATGCATATAATACAATGTTCTTAAAAAAATTTTATAGCATTACACATCTTACACAAACTCTATTCTTCTTATTTCTCTCCTTTCACCATCATTGCTGGAAATTTTAGGTGTTCGTCGTTTTTTGTAAAGTATTTTGCAGCACCCGTTAAATTTGTATCTCGCTCGCTCTGGTCATTTTCCATTCTTCTCCAAGCTTCATATGCAGCGTGAAAGTCGTTTGGGTTTGGAGTCGTTGAGTTGGATTGAGATTTTATGAGGGCTAAGAAGGGATAAGTGCCAGTGGTTGTTGTTTATAGGACACGCGGTTACGTAAGATTAGTAGGTCGCCAAAATCTCCTCATTTCCATCCATTTATTCCCAACACCCTAATTTCACCAACAATCCTGGCACTATATCTGCAACCTGCACAGAGAAAGTCATCGGGTTGTCCGTTGCAATAATTTATTGTCACGTCTCACACTCCCTGAAGAATTGCAACCACCAACGGACGACCCTTTTGTGCATGAAATTTCCGTGAATAATCTCGCATTCAATGTTTCTTGGTCCGATGGGGGTGGATAAGTGAAGGTTCATTGGGGACAACGGTTGCCCCCACAGAACCTTTCACACATTGTCATCTACAATTAATCATGTAGGTCGTTGTGTATTTCCCAGGGGGAAGAATGGTTCGATAGTTCATATGCTAATGGTCTGTCGTGGTCATCTGCAGGACACAAATAATATTTTTCACATTTATTCAACTCCATAATTTTATTGGCAAAGAAAATTTCATGGAATATTGACGCCATTTTTCATTTTCTACAGAATTCATTAACTCACTGGAAGCATCTAATCATGATGAAAAGCCCCATTTATTGTTGTGATGAAATTGGAATCACCTAAAAAAGGCGTTGCAAAATCACATTAAGAGAACCAATTTCTCTAAAAAAATGTCTTCAAAATTTACGTGATATTCATTTTGGCAGAAAATAGGGTTATTTTATTCTTAGGTAAGGCATGGTAACCATGACCATGAAAAATGGTAAAAATAGGGCGATTTTATAAGCCCTTGTAATCCGACTTTCTTCTGTTTTACCTAAGCAACGCTTTTTTTAGGGATTACATTATTTCTCACAATGTTATTGGAAATTCCGATCAAATTGACAATCGCAAAGCACGACAGTCTCACCAGTGGCACATGCACACAACTATCTAGTTGGTTACGGAATGTTATTTTATTTCACTAGTCTCGTGTTCTTTTTCCATCGAATCTCTCCCCTCTGTTCTCTCTCGTGCTTGTTGTTCTTTCCGGCAAAAAAAACAGCGGAGAAGAGCGGAAAATAAATTTGGTGTTTGTGGGATGTTCACCACTTTCGGTTCGAAATTCTTCCCCGGAAGAAGCTTCTTATCAAACATTGATACCGAGGAGAAAGTGCGTCTATAAAACTACTTATCGCTTGCCCAGTCATGACAAGTGTTCACCTCAGAGACAGCAATACAATAGAAAACAATGAGTTTCCGACTTTTCGGACAAGACTGGACTGACAAGGATGGAATTTCAGAAAAGTAACACATTGTGTTGTAAGGTTATGTTCTCTTTTATTTCCACCACTATCAAATTTGGTAAATTGTCCAGTGTGAATTTTATTAACCTGTCTCTCCACCCACATGCCTTCCATGTCACATTTAGATAATGTCGTGTCACAGAATTTACAGTCAAGACTATCGTCGTCGTCTAAAATAGTAATAGACCTATAAACCAGATAATGTGCCACATAGTTCGTGTAATTTTGGTCGTAAATAAGTAAAATAATTGTATGGGATGTGGGCGGTTTATGGCAATTTTATAACTCGAGGCGATTGTGGTGCGCATTATTTCTTCGCCTTGATTTATGTGAATTAAGACAAAACCTTCAGCAATTTCACACAGGACGGAACGATTTTTTAAATTCTTGCCGTCCAAAGACCATTCGAATTTTTTATTGTTCTCCAACATCCTCAGGTGTTCTCCTCGAATTATTTTCAAGAGAAAGCTCTAAGTAATTCCATGTACGAGCACATCTCGATCCAATTCTGAGAAAGCAGTTAATCTTCATGTATGATTTTTATTGTTTACTCCCATTTTCAAAGAATTATTGGAACTTTACAAACGCTTATTTATTCTCAATTTTCCATAAACGAGAAAATTTTAAAGGGTAAAATATTATCTGCACGAAATTTATGAATCCTTCACTTTTTTCGAAAATAAATTGGAAGAGTTCTTGGTACCAGGAGTGCGTAACGAGTTAAAGGTTCCTGGTTGGTTTTGGGTTCAAGTATTTCCAGAGAAAAGTAAAAGTGAAGTGATCTGCTATGCGAAAGAAAACAAGGAGATAATGAGGTGAAAGTTACATATATGTAATAGATAACCTAGAACTGTGTACGTACGCACACCCCACAATTTCTACATGCCAATACCAATGTTAGGAACCCAGATATACGTACTTCTCCACATATGTGAAAACATGGGGTATAAAACCAAACTCTACCTATCGAAA